GTGTTAAGTACAGAATTTTCAAACTTTTGCTTATGAATGAAAAATTTTGCATGTATAATAACAATTAAAATAAAATAAAAAAGTAAACAAAAGGTAAAAGTTTTAATCGAAGAAAAACTACATTCAATGACGTACTTCCTGCTGAACGCAAGTCGCCGTTTTCTATTGGCTGAGGAGAGATCACGTGTTTTCGGCGCCGCTTCTCCACCAATAAGCGTGCAGCCGGGACACTTCCGGTTTGAGCGCCGTCGGCTAACAGGTAAGCTGCTATTTTCATGCTAAATTAACGCAAAAATAAACTATTTTTACCATATTTTTTAACGACAGAGCTTTATACCTGTTACATAGTTTAGATAGAAAGTTTTCCAGCTGCAAATAAATTAAATGTTCTTAAAAATGAATGTTTTAACAGCGGTTTTCTTCTGAAAGGAACAGAAACTTTGTCAGAAGGAAGTCAGCTTTYTCTCAACAAAATAACCGAACATGAACGATTTTAACTGAAGGACGGGAAAGTTTTTTAAGAGAAAGACTTCCTTGTGTCTAACTTTCTACTACATTTGATTAGATAAAAGCTTGATAAATAGTTGTTAAAACGTGTTTCCTCTCACCTGTTCTGTGAAAGACGTGGCGTTTACCTGCWGCTCTGCGGACACGCCCACCTCCACCTGCAGCTCTGCGGACACGCCCACCTGCAGCAGCAGCTATTATTTATCATTATACTGGATCTGATCTGACATCTTTGCTTCATAAATAGTAAAAAATACCCATAATTACCATAAATACCATAATTACCTAATTTCCCTCTGGGATCAATAAAGTATTTTTGAATTTGAATTGAATTGAATTCTATCTGGTTGTTTACTTTTTTGAGAACTATTTCAACTTTTGCTTCAGCAGAAACAACCTGAAGACTTTTTCATTAATTTAACTGTTTTTAACTCGAAATATTCCAAAAATGAAACAATTAATATAAAACATGAGATAATAAATGGGAAATGGACTGAACATATAGAGTGCTTTGTCAAGTCCCTCCGGACCCCAAAGCTCTTTACACTAACAGACGTTCACACACTGATGGTGGTAAGCTACACTGTAGCCACAGCTGTCCTGGAGTACATTGACAGAGGTGGGAGATAATCTGAGGACAAAACAGATTTCTGTGGTAAAGATTGCAGATTAGAGATTTAATAATAAATYTATATTTAGACGACTGAAGAGGCTCATACAGTTTAAGAATATTTGCTGAAAGTTTTATTCAGAATCTCTAAAAATATGTAGAAATTATGAGTATTTCTGTTTTACTTCAAGATGCTGTAACTTTATATTTTAAACAAGTAATAGTATCATTTAGACACGTTAAAGCTTTTATCATATGTTTGTGTTCTCCAGTTTTTTCTAATAAGTAGTTTTTACTAAACTGTTAAAAATGTTAACTCTAATGGGTCACTTTATTATTATTTCCATCCTGTGTGTTTTTATTGTGTTATTGTGTGACYRTTCACAATCACTCACACTGAGATCTTTTTTTTTTCGTATGTTTTTCCGCATCTGACTCGTTCCACAATTTTTGTGTTATTTCAGCAATTTATCAAACGTTCAGCTCATTAACATGAGGGGTGCTATGACTTTTGGTATTTCAGCTAGTTATACTTTTTTTTAGCTATTTCACTTTTTTGCCGCTGAAAATAAATGAAGCTGTTTTCAACATCCTTAAAATCCTTTAAAATGTTTCTAAATATTTATATAACCTTACAAATGTTGTTCTAGTTCTGCTCTTTTTCACTTTCTTGTGCTAATTTTAGCTACCCCCCCCCTTTTTTTTACACATTTTAGCTTTTTTCTGCTATTTCAGATAAATTTCTGCTTCTTTCTGCCTTTTTTTCTGTTTTTTCTACTTTGTGCTTTTTATGCTTCTTACAGATGGTTTCTACTATAGTAAGCCATTTGCTGCAATTTTAGCTAATGTTCAGCTATTAGCTAAAGTTAGTTTTTTAAGCTAAAAACACATTTTTATAGATATTACAACTTATTTCTAATAAGTTAAGCAAACTTGTGCTTTTTATGCTTCCTTATGCTAAATAAAACATTTCCAG